TTTGCTTGAGTCTGGCTTATGATATGGAAAAGAAAGATGAAATTCAATGTTCGCAGCCAGAATTATTAGTCTGTGAGAACCACCGGTCTTTGATAATTAACGAAATGCTATGGCAGTTTAAGATGATCAATTAACAATGCAGACGCCTATTTTTGGCATATAAACATTCGCGAAATACCAATGTCACTAATCTTCTTCCGCGAGCACATACGTAAATATACACTCTAGTACAGATTGTCCGCCTCGGATTCTTCTCCGTTTACACGCTTATTCTTCTTCAAAAACGTCAAAAGTTCAGTAACCTATGTAAACCTTTATTCTTATTCTTTAGCTGTTAGACAAGTATGAAGATCTTTTACAATTACGATTCCCGTGTAAATTTTAGATAAGTTTTCGTTCGTGAAATTTGACTAAGGAAAAGCTGAATTCATAGTAGAATAATATTCTCAGCAAAACCTCGTTTACCCTGCCCAATGGGCGGGTCCCCTCGGGACGGATATTCCGGTCCGAACCGCAACAATATGACAGATATTATTATTGCTATAGCAAGACTGGCGTTTCCGTGAGTTTTTAACCCGCATGCCTCGGGAAATTTCATCTGGCATGGGGGGTGCCAGATGAGTCGCGTGCCCAAAACAACAACGTCATTTTAGCGGCACTTTATGAATGAACCTGCGTTAAAAAATGAAGTCGTTTTAGAAGGAAAATATATGTCTTAAAGGATGACGTCATTTCGCCGTTGTTATTTAATGTTGTAAGTTTCATACGGGCTATTGTAAGGAAATATTTAGTTGGATGAAATGAACTTTTAATTTCATGAACATATATCCCCATATTTGAGGTAAACCATTTTTTAAAATATGAAATAATATGGCAGAATAAGCAAAAAAAATGTCTTTCATATGTTTGCGGTTCGGATCGGAAATATCCGTGCCCTCGGGAACCCGCCCATGGGCGGTAAACTCGACAAGCTCGTTACCAGCCCATTGGGGGTCCCCTCGGGACGGATATTCCGGTCCTAACCGCAACATAAATGACAGATATTAATAATAATGAATATAATAATAATAAAATAATAGTAATAATAATAATAAAAATAATAAATAATTAATAATAAATAATAATAATAAATAAATAATAAAACAATTATACTGGACAAAATTATAATAATAATGATAATTAAAAAAGCCGTTTAATCAATTTAAATTTGCGATCCGGTCCAAATGCGTTAAAGCATTTATAAAAGTAAACGAAATGTAACCGGTATTTTAAAAAAACGTTAACATAAAAGATATTCGAAAAAAATACGTTACGTTATAGTATAAAAAAAAAGCGACGAGACTGTTAAAATGTGTGATAATTTTTCCTTTTTTGGCCTGGGCCAAAACATCGGGGGATTTTCTTTTTTTTAGAAAAATGTTTTCCAAAAGGGGCCGGGGTTAGGACCGGAGAAAAACTTTTTCTGAAAAAGGGAAAACCCGAGAAAACCGCCCGGGGGCCCTTTTTAAATTTTTAAACCATAACAAAAGGTTCCCCCGGCCTCGAATATTTTAACCAAAACCTTTGGTTTTTAATAGCAAGGGGAAATTAAAAAAGGGGGGGAAATTTAAAGAATTTTTTTGGGTTTTCTCAAAAATTTTTAAAAAATTTTTTTTCCAAAAATTTTTTTTTTTTTGGGTTTTTTTCCTTAATAAAATTTAAATTTTTTCCCTTGCTCCCGGAAAACCCTTGGGTTTTTTTAACCTTTTTTTATGGGTCCCATTTTTCCAAGGGGAACCCCGGGATTTTTTTTGTTTTTTTAAACCCCTCCAAACCTTTAAATTTGATTAAAGGAAATTAAGGGGGAAGGGGGCTAAAAAAAATTTTTTTATTTAAAAAAACCCGGGGAATTTTTTGTCCCGGGCCGTTTGGTGGGCCGGGCTTTTTTTTCGGGGGGGAAAACCACTTTTTTTTAAAAAAGGAAAAAATTTTTTGGAAAACCTTCCCTAAATTTTTTTACCAGAAAAAGTAATTTGCCCTTTTTTTCGGAACTTTTTAAAGTTTAAATTAAAGGTTTTTGGCTTTTTCCCACCCAATTTTTAAAAATTTTAAATTTTTTTGGCTTTTCAGGGGTCCACTTTTGGAAAAATTTTTTTTTGAAACTTTTGAACTTTTCATCATCATCGTACTTTCGCCCTAACGCATTCCGTAAATACGTTGGGTGTTCCAGACTGGTTGGATGACCACTTTAACATAAAACATTGCGACGCGCTAATATTACCCTAACCGCCGTTTGAGTACGGGCGTATAACAGGCTAGGAACATCAAAGAAAAATCGCCGCACCATTCGATAAAATAGTTAATAAGTATCGCCTAGACCTGCTTTTTTGTAGCTTTTAAACAAAAACATAAACCGATTTCTTTTACCAACAGCAATTGATTTCAATTTTTCTAATTTTGGTTTATCCGGGAGTTTATATTTCATATTCCAAATATATATACCTTGCAAGAATCACGAAGTAAATTTCATATGTCCTATGTTCATAACTGTCCTAGATGACCAAGATAATGTAATATGTAGTGCTTCTTGGTAATAATGGGAAACTATAATTCTGAGCTTAATTCTGGGCGAGTTATCGCTCCTTTTCATACAGATTTTAAGGCGTTATATTTTTGTGAAATCATGACACAGCCTTGAGCTGTATAAACATTTATCTATTTAACTTACTTATTACTTGGACAATTTTAAGTTTAATAAAAGAACTTATGCCAGATGTATACAAAACACTTGGTAAACAATTCAATGAATAAGATAACAATCAAGTCAAACATGAGGAAAAAAGGTTCAGTCTGAGCGAAAAACTCGTAGCCACTATTATAATAATTTATGAGCCCAGTTTTTTTTATGTCCGCTGATAACAAATGATCTGTAGCATTAAGCATGTATACTGTTGTTCTGTCTATCCAAAGACAAAGCAAGAGCTGATACATAGATTGTACAAAACAACAAGTATAAAAAGAATAACAGACAATGATCAGATATTTATAATAAAACATCTGATTGGTTGATTTCAAAAAAGAGACAAATAATGTGAAATAAGAGGTTTTCGCAAATTGCCGCATTCCCTCTATACGTATCAACGGACAGTGACAGTATGCTACGCGAAAGAAATATAATATGGTGTATTGCCGCATACATCCATCAGCACTAAGCCATACTGTAAAAAACATAGCATACTGCCGCATATAGCATACCGCGTCACGACAAAGCTCACACATCCATCATTAAGAATTCGTGATTGCATGAAATTAAATAAAATCCTTTTACGTAAAATTGTCGACATGGTTGCGGAACATATGAGCCGCGTCACGACAAAACCAACATAATGGTAATCCGCGCAGTCTGATCAGGATCCATTCTGTTCGCTTACAAACTCTATAACAAGTAGAGAAACTGATAGCGAACAGCATGGATCCTGATCAGACTGCGCGGAAGCGCAGGCTGGTTTGGATCCATGCTGGTCGCAAACCCATTATGTTGGTTTTGTCGTGACGCGGCTCATATGTAAATGTTGCTTGACGAGTTCAGTGAAAGAGCACGTGTTTCAAAAAAGAGTGAAACAGAATCTTTAAAAAACGCCCAAATCGACAAAATTGAAAATGTTTTTCAGCTCGGTTTGATTGAGCCTGTTCATGGACGGTACCGGAAAGTGCAATTTACCATCCACGACTCATGGTGCCGTCTTAAAAAGGATTTCAACATTTAAACACAAAAATGGTAAAATGTTGAATCCAGTTACTTCCGCAAATGTGTTCAAACGGCGTTTGTAATGAAACATACAATGTGACACGTTCGTGCAATTCCATGAAATATGGTCGCCAAGTAAAATAATTCATGCGCCCTGAACGAGAAAAATGTGAGAAACGGAAAAATTGAATTTTGAAATAAGATCAGCGGTTATAAAGTCAGCATATTACAGATTTACTGTCAAAATACAAATCTAAAAAGCAGGAAACATATCCTAAGAGTGATAATACTGTATTCAAGTAGGAACACTGGAACCACCCAACTAGAAAAGGTCCGAATAGAAGGGTCTTAGAACTCCACAAACATGCACACACAACAATAATGTTGTGCCGATCGATCTTCAAGGGTTGAAAATATAACATCTTTGATTAAATGTACGGGGTACAAATAACACTGAGGTGACAATAAAAAGAGGGAACAGAATATCTAAAGAACGTCCCCCCCCCCAAAAAAAAAAAAATAATAAAAAAATAATAAAAAATAAAAAAAATATAATTGAAAGTATTGCAGGTTCGATTTGATTGAACCTGTTCATGGATGGTACTAGAAAATGAAAGCTACCATCCACGCCCCATAGCACCGACTTAACTCAAACATTAAAAAGTACGTATACATCGTATAATATAGAATGACTTTTTGGGATACAGTGCACCAACAACACTGTAAAGGTAATATGGTTTTGGTTGTTGTTTTTGTTGTTGTTTTTTTTTGTTGATATCAATATGAGGATAGGAAAGAAAGGCGATTGAAAACGAAAGAAAGAAAGGAATGAATTAAATATTACATTTATGTTTCTGTATGTTAACAAGTGAATCACAAATTTACTGTTTTAGTAAAGACGTCGATTCATACGAAGTATGATCTTGAAACAAGTTAAGTCAGTTTTTTCTGATGAAAATAAGAAACATTTTCGCTTCTTAATCCAATCAAATATATTTTTATTGTACCAAAATTAATTGATCTCACTTCTAACCAATTTGAGGACCCCAAACGCAGCCATCTTAACCATTACGTCACTTTAATTACCATTTAAAATTCGATACTATTCTAATATACACAAATGAGTTGTTTTCTTATCTGATACGAACCTATAAATAGGATGTTATCATGTTGAATTTAAAGGTAATGTTGACAGATAACCATGTTAAGTAAACATTATTAGATATCGGGTTTTCACTATCATAAATTGTGCACCAAAGTCATGTAAATTCACATTGTTATATTTCTGATCTGCAGTATTCATATGTCAATATGTCGGTTAATGAACGTCAACCTTTGATAGTGAATACTAACAAAATTGTATCACGTACTTTCAAATGTAAACACTTTATTTTGTTTCCAACAGCTAATTTATTGTTTTTCGGATATGTTGTGCAATTCTATGTTATTTCTCAGTGGATACATAATGTTATTCAAAAGAAAGCAAATCACCAGGGCGACGGTGGTCCTTCTGAATGTTCATTAAGTAACTCTAGCGATCCGAGGTTTATTTCATTTCAAAACGTCGAGAAAAGGACAGCTGTTTGGCAACTTTATTTCATGATTGCTTCATCTTTACCGGCATTCTTTGCAACTGCTATACTCCCGTCGTATTCGGATACCTTCGGGCGGCGTTTTTTATTCGTATTTTCGTACAGCGCATATCTTTTAAAATATATTTTGTGCGGGCTCACTATTTTTTACGAATGGCACCTAATTTGGTTGATCGTTGCATCCTTTTTAGAGGGCATAACGGGCTCATATTTCACAGTTTATTCTGGTTGCTATTCATTCATAGCAGACGTCACTGAGCCCGGACGTCAACGAACGCTTGTCTTCACACTGTTTGATGGTATTCAATTATTAACATTAACTTTGGGTGGCTTTGTTGCGGGTTATTTCATTGAATTTCAAGGATATTTTGTTCCTATGGCATTATGTACTTTGATACAGTTTTGTGCATGGGTTTTAGCACTAATTTTCCTTCCTGAAACCCTCCAGGAGGAAAACATCTGTGACGTCACTTCCGTTTTCACAAATTTAAAACGAACTGTGGACTTCTACCGAAGTGACGAGTTTTCAGGCAAAAGAGCAGCGTACACGTTATTAGTGCTTTCGATCTTCACTGCCGAAATGGCAGGAAGCAATCGGGCATCAATTGAATTGTTATATCAACTTGGCAAGCCATTCTGTTGGCCTTCACAAAAGATAGGACTTTTCAGTGCGGCCCGGCATGCTGCGCAGGGATTGGCTGGAATATGTCTGATAACACCATTAAAGAAATGTTTGTCAGAAGTTAGTATCGCCATTATAAGTAATTTCTCAAATACCGCTTCTTTCGTGCTGGAGGCGTTTGCAAAGTCAGATCTGATGCTTTACCTTGGTAAGTAGATAAAAGAGCGATTAATTCTATACCATTCTATAAACCTGGACAATTAGTACTATATACTAGTATCTGAATGGAATAATTGGTTTACTAACACATACTTATAATAAAGTTATACCATTGTGGACATTATTCTAAGATACGTTATTTAGCATGGCTCTTCTTATTATTACATATATAGGAAAGCCAAGTGCATCGCATGCGGTGTTAACGCTCGTTTGGTCTGTTTAAAAAAAATCACTTGACAAAAATTCTATGTTGAAAAGAGACATAACTCCAAAAGTATAGCTTTCAAAATTATCGCCATTTACAAACAACCGTCTTTTGTCATTATAAGCGTGTTTCCAAATCATATTTATATCTTTAACATTGTTTGATGGGCTATATTAAAGTTTTTGCACAACGACGACGATGACGACGGCGAAGCATCGATCATAATAGCTCGACATTGTTATCCGAAACGGACAAGCCAGATCTAGAAATACTCATATTTTAGCATTATAAGAATATTTAGTAAACTTAACAATAGCTATTTTAGAGGGCATATCAGGTTTATATTTTACTGTTTATTCTGGTTGTTATTCATTCATACGCAAATATATTTCGTAGACATGAATATAAAATCACAAATCGCATTACGGAATCGTTTTATACAATGTAGTTTACAAGAAAACAAGGTCTATAACACTAAATAAACTCCGGATCAGAACATGCATACTATAGCAACTAAGCAACTATAGTTATGCGCATATTGTGCACAGTCAGAATATTTTGAAAACGTCATTAACTTTGATTTATACAGAACTTATTTTAGTTCGACAGTGTAAGAAGCCATAAGCTTATAGACACAATTTCGGATCCGTTCCTGGAACCAACCAGTAATGAGCACAGAGTAAAGTTATTTGCTCAACGAAACAACGACTTGCCCCTGGCGGGGTTTGAACCTATGCGGCAAAATGACTATCCCGACGAGTTAATAACTCGGCCAAGCCGTCATTGATGTTGACGTTACTCAAACGCTTGTATATATAAGAAACGCGTTTAACCTTTTCTTATTCATAGGGGGTCTCCGTGGCCGAGTTTTTAAGGTCGCTGACTTGAGATCACAGATCCCTCACCGCTGTAGGTTCCATCCTCACTCGTGTCGAAATCTTTCATGTGAGGAAGCCATCCAGCTAGCTTACGGAAGGTCGGTGGTTTTACCCAGGTGCCCGCTCGTGCATGAAATAATGCCCGGAAGGGCACCTGGGGTCTTCCTCCATCAATAAAGCTGGGAAAAAAATCGACGAAAAAATCTCGGCGGGACGCTCTAGGATGGCCCGACTTGAGTGTACGGTCGCCCATATGGGCTTTCCGGCGGCGACCTTAAATAAACGCATTTAAAAAAATCTTATTTAAACCATGTTTTAACCATGAATATAATTCGTCAATGTAATGTTTTGTAAACTTTCATAATCATATCGTATATATTTTTAATATTTCATTTTATTTAAAGTTCCCGTACCAGCCTTACTAGGTCGACTGACAGTATCAATGTCGAAAAGTCTGATGTCGTCTATGACAGACCCTGACAAACAAGGTGATCTATTTTTTGTTTTGTTTACTTCTGTTTATATTTAAGCTAATGCTCTGTAGAACTTGCACGGAAGTAAATTATCATTGCTTTTTGTTTTAAAATGACCTCTTTAAGGGTATGACTGGTAACATGTACGTGGTCCGTATTCAACAGCATAAAAACACCGTCTCTCTCACTCCTCGGTACGTGCACGTCGTTTAAAGGCACATGGCATCGGTTGATTTCAAAAAGCATAAAGATCGGAAATTATATCTGTGGACCAGCTGTCGATGTCCTGACTGAAGCCGAAGGGAGTGGTCACTTAAAAGTTGGAAGGGACAACGAGGGAGGGTACTATGGTGCGTGAGCCTCTAGCATGCAGTGAGGGCTTGAAAGGAGGCCCTTTACTGGAACTAACTGTCCTTATCAGGGCTACCTCCTTTTCATATTGTCTTAGTTTACTGAACAGTTAGGATCTTCCTCCAATTTTATATCTTTGACTAATTCTCCGTGGAAATTGCATGGAGGTAAATCTTTACCACACTTTATTTTAAAAAGGGCTTGGCTGGTGACATGTCCGGAATCCGTATCCGACACTTTTAATAGATGCTTTTTGTGCTCTTTCGAGCGGATGGACCTCACTAAGCATGGCATGTACTACATACACACATATGCACCGTAAACATTTACAACATAATTGAAATGTGATTAAATGATATCATGCTAGCAAAATCATCCAACAAATTAATATTCGCCATATTTAAGTCAACAAATTGACTTTCCATGCATTCCTTAACTTTGCTTTCGTGTTTGTTAATCATTCATTTCAGTTTTAACTGTAACATCATTTTCACGTTTTCTCTTCATTATAATAATTCAGCAGGTAGTCTTTAACACTTTAAATCGATTATTTGGAAAAGCGTAACAACTGTTGGAAGTCATACTTGTAAGAATTTCACAGTAATCGTTCCTGTTCAGTGTTAGTAACATGAAAGGAAACAACGTTGTTTTAGGCAATATTGTTTTTGTTTGTTTCAGTTTAATTATAAATTATTGGCATAGACGGGATTTTTGAAATATCTTTAATTTATATAAAAATTCTGTTTATTAAGAATGATAATGGTAAAAATATTATTTTATTACTATAAAAAATAAGCACAACAGTACATGCTAGAAACGTTATAGATTAAATGTAATGGGGAACTTTTTTTTCTAATGAGGAAATCTAAAAACATTGATGCCATAATTACAAGCCAGGTAGAAAAATCTTAATACAGTCAAACCTGTGTAAATGATCATATCCGGATACCAAATACAGACTAGATATAGGACCTAACAATATCGTATATTTTCTTTTCCGATTTCAACAAAAATGCATAACCAGTTAGGGTTAAGCATTTTTTCAATATCAATTGTCTATAAATATATTTGACTAATTTGATAAAAAGATCTACATTTGGTATGTCATTTGTTCTGCTTTATTTCAGGATCATTATTTGCGAGTATAACAGCGGTGACAAGTATATGCGGATTTACCGCACCATTTTTAAACAATGCTGTGTATGCCGCAACAGTGACGTTCTTCAATGGATTCATTTTCCTGGTACTCGCCGGGTTCTGCCTACTCGGGTTCACTCTTCTTTTGTAAGTTCTATTATACTATACATACTCGACATTACCGCTGTAGATTAAAATCTCGACAGGGACTTTAAATTCTTTTTGTATAGTAAAGCTATATAGCTGTTTCACAGATGGTTGGTGGTTCTATTCAGGTGCCCGCTTGTGCCGGAAATAATGAAAGAAATTGCACCTGAGGTCTTCCTCAACCAGATTAGGCCTTGCGCAGGTTTTATAAAAATTAAAACCCAATAAACTAACAAACACTCTCCACTCGCATACTTTAATATTAATAAATAACATTTTAAAATTTTTCATATAACATGAAAAAGGTTTGTAATAGTTTAAATGATATTAATTTAACCTCATTATGAAGAGAACATTGGATTTTAGTTGAACAACTTAGCAATATTGATGTCATATAAGGAAATGCTTACACAATTATAATGACACGCCTAACGCTTTAGGACACGCCTCCTTATAGCACAAGGGTAGATAGTCTGGATTACCTGCCCCTTACCACTACCTATAGCAAAGTACGACCGGAAACCAGACTAAAGGATAGAAATCTCGTACAAGTACAGTACACAAACTGTTTAGATTATATTTCTAAAGATAAGGGTCTATCTGAGTACAAAATAATATAATCTTTCATTTCACCAAATCACAGTACATAGACAACAACCCGATGGTCTCTTTGGCGATTTTAAAGCTTTACGCACTGTGCTAAGAAAACGAATTTGTACGGAACTAAGACTTCAATCACTTTTTATAACCATATTTTTAACCTCGAACTAAGAGCTATAATGTGTGTTTGTGTGTTGACATATCGCAAACAATTTCTTACGGAAAGAGTTTCTAAAAAAGCTTTCGAAGCTTCCTACTCAATCCGTACTATTTATTATGTGTCAATTATCATGTAAATGTAATGTTTATCAACAAAATATTGTTTAAACTAAAATACTTAATATTAAGGAATGGAGTGAAAAAAATGACAAAAGTTATTGGACCAGACATTCATCACATGTTTCACATTTTTTCGAAAAACAAAACCAGTCCTTTAATGTCAACAAACCTCAGTGGAATTCTTCTAATATCATGGGGCTGATAATGTAAACGTATATACAACGAATAAACGTCGTTTTCAAATTTTTATTTAAAGGCACATTATGCTTCAGCAACGAATAAAGTTTTACTTGTTAAGAATGGGAAAACATAAAAGCCTTTGGGGAATTGAACATAAAAGCTTTTCTGGGGCATTATGGGCCTTTAACATATTTAAACATAGAACTAAGGATTTATGTTATCAGTCTAAGGCTATTAACTTGGTAGTTACTGTACTTAAAGGAATGTTTACATTCATTTCAAAATCTTTAAAATCGTAAAAACGGTCAGGTCAACTTGAGGTCAAATAAACTCATACATTTCTTATACTTTACCTCAGTTTAAATGTTTGATTGCTATTTTTTTCCAATAAAGTAACAGTTTGTACTCGTACATATATAGACGAATCACTTAATACTAAAGCATTTGAATTGAAAATATCTGCTTTGGTTAATTAAAATATTTTAACCTTCTTACTTAATGTAATGTGCATGGCTTACGTCCTGCTTTAACTATATACAGCTAATAAAATTTCAATTATTATCAGAATAAAAGTAATTAGACGCAACTGTTTAAAAATGCCTATTTTTTCTACTTACAGGATCTTTGCAAAAACACAGCAAGTGAAAACAACGGGAGAAACAATTGAAAAAGTTGTATCGGACGATTAGAGAAACAAAAACCGTATTTTAATTTTAAACCATTGAATTACATACGTACGCATATCATGACAATGGCTAAAGATCGTTCCGAAGTTTATTCACAAAACAATAAACCCGGATGTAGACAAGCAGAACGCCGGTGTTTGAATTATAGTTAAACTCACGGATTAGATTTATTGTCCTCACACTAATCCACATCTTGAAAATTCTTGTGAGATTTGACAGAAGAACCCCATAGGTAGAATATGAAATAAACTATTGTGTGGCCAGTATCAGGAAAGACATAAAACAATTCTTCATTCAAATAAATACTTTTAAACAATCTTTCGGAATATTATATAGAGATATATCTGTTACACTCTTTTCAATGAAACAACAATGAGTGAAAAATAGGGAAAAAAAAGGGATCACCGTCCAGATTAATTGCATTTCGTTCCTAACTAGATTTCGCCGTAAAATTGATTTAAGAGTTTATTTTACATGGTTCACCAACAAGGTGTCAGCAAAGGAGTTTGAAAAGGTTGCAATAATTCTGACGACCGACTGGATAGAAAACATGGTCTTAACTTTATTCTTTGGCTCGGTGATATGATGCATTTCGCATTTCTTTTTGGATCGAGTCTTGCCCAGTGCAAGATCTTTTCGATTCGTTTTATTACAAACTAAATTTTAGTTAAGAACTAGAACCCTTATTATGTAAAAGGCCCAAATATTAATCGTTTTATCAACAAATCAAAATTAAGAAACCTTGTTAACAGTATGAATGTCTCGTGTCTAAAAATAAAGAATTCATTAAAATGTTTGCTTTTGGGCCTTTATCCGTTGAATTTTAATGCATTTACCATGTATTGAATTGGAAAAAGTCCATTTAATAAATAAGGAGATATTAATATATCAATATACAATTAAAAAATCAGCTACAAACCGCTGGTCTGGCTTTATGGTTTATCGTCTAAACAGTAAATTTCTTTCTGTCACATTAAAGGTAATAAAAGTGGTATTTTATTTGACGTTTTAGTTTAACATTTTAGAGATAACAGTATTTGTCTTCTTAAAAGAAGTATTTACACTCTCTGTTCCCTGATTGGCGCATTGTTTTTACCATTTTATAGTATATTTAACTTGTTTTATGACGAATGCTTACATAGCTTCCGGATTACTTTAGAAAGTCTTCCTGATTTGAGATCATGAATTATCATAGACTATAAATACAAATGACGAAAATGCATTCGTTTAGTTCCTGTTCCCATGAAGATATATAATATTCAAAAAATCTTTATTGACTCACACGTTCAATAAATCTTTCTTATCACAAGCAAACAAAACATTTGGTTTTAAAGGGTATTCATTTTAAACATACATATCACATATTAAGAAAGAAAAAGCTTTAAATTGTTAAAGAATGACAAGGTTTTGGAAAACATTAAAAATCAAACATGATTTCAAAATTTGTCACAGCTAATTCATATTCTTTTAGATGAGTGGCGGTGAATTTCAGATAGAAAATATTAAATCGTTGCAATGCACTTTGAATTGAAGTTTGAAATTCATACTTTTTAATCTATTCTTTGGATGAGAAACTCTCGCTTAAAAACATGCGAACAACGCAATGATTATTCAAAAGTTTTCATTCAATGAAATGATAAATCATTCATGGTATTGGTAGTTTGTACAAGTCATAAAATCATTTTTATCATTAGTTTTAAAGATGTATGACATGTCCTAATAATAGTTATAAAGATTTTTTGACAGGTTATAAAGGCCCTTTATAAACGGTTATTGGTAAATATAACCCGAGCCGCAAGCTTACATACGGCCATGTAACCTGTCAGAAATATAGATAACAAATTTATAATACAGGGGGCAGGGGGGTGAGCTTTCTTCATAAACTGACAGCAGCCGCGTATATAAAAATATTAAAACTATTATCCAATGAAAAGCTACGTTACAAAATTGCAGTATTATAAGGCCCAATATACCAGTAAACGGTTGTAAGCCTTTATAACTCGATCCGTTGTAGCACGTCTGATATCTTTATACTGAATTTATAATACAACAAAATGACTTTATTTGAGGAAAAGGAAAACTACTTCATACAAATTAAAATTGACAGCAATCGTGTATATAGATAATATATATAAACGTCACGATTATCCAATGATAAGCGACCTTACAAACGTGCAATAATATACAGTCGAGACTGTCATATGTGACTTTCCAAGGGACCCATAGAAAAAGGTCACATATGACAGGGTGTCTCTTAAAACAGTCTCAAAGGAAATTAAAATTTAAGTACCATTCTATATAACATTGTGACTTAACATACATAACTGTGTGAAGGAATAATATCTTACCACATGCAAATAAACATAGGTACTACTTAAAATATTTTATATAAATAAAATAAGAATCCCTGTTAAACAAATACCACCAAATGTATTATATACAATTTTATTTTGTTTTTTATATTAGATTTATATTGAATCATTATGGTACAATTTGGTACAAATCCTTAAAATAAATTTCATTCTTTAAAAAACGTATCCATTTTCAATTTTTTTTCTTTAAATGGAAGGTCTGGTATCAACATTTTCCCATAGCATTCATGCAGCCATAGAAAAATAAAATAAATAATAAAAAAATGCTGCCTAAAATACATATTGTCTACCTAATACTATGTATTTAAGTGTACTCCATGTAAAATAATCATTATCTATAGCATATGTCTGTTAAAATACGAACACTGTAAGGAACATTCAATGAAAGCAGGGAATAACAATATCTAAATATTGCTTAGGAATGTATATTTGTGTATGGTATATATCTTTAGAAATTCTGGGAAGGCACCAAAAACTGTTTGCTTTCTTGAAAATCTCAAAATGAAAATCAGCATCTATATCAGATAGAACGTATTGTATAAACATTGGTACAACAGGTAATGGTGACTATAAGAAAGATCAGTCTAAAAAAGCTGAATGAACTCTCCAAATAATAAGTTGTATCGAAATTGTGTCCATTGTTCTTTATGGCTTATTGTATATACGTTCATCGTCATAAAACAAACAGTCACATACATGCAAGTTTGTTGATAAATTAATTTTCTATATAAGTTATTACCGAAACTAGCACCAAACGTATATTGTATTAGTACCGTATTACTTTTATCTACCAATTTTTACGACCTAATCAATTAAACGGGACAACCTTTCTGATCCCTTTTCTTGAAGTTGCTTTTCCCTGTCGCTTAAATAGTGTTTCATCGTGCAAATAACATCTTCTGTATTGACAATTGCATTCTGAAGGTCTTGGCATGGCAAGTCTTTCAAATACTGTAAGCGTATCGTTAATAACTGCTCCTTCAATACAATTTATTATACCTTCGTCTTTTTTATCATCGTTTTCTTTTGGCGTATTTAGCTTTTGTTTTGGTAAAGGTTTTCCCAGCTTACCAATAAGACGATCGATTAGTTCACTATCACGTGTTTTGAAATCTAAATAGCGGATTCTTGACAAAGCTCGTAACCTGTCATCCCTGATGTCGCTTGAAACTATATCGTCATAGTTTATCAATATTATTTGTTTAGCTTTGTCGGCTTTGAAAGAATTCCAAATCGTTTCTAACTCCGATACACTATTGTAGTTTTCTGCGTATTTATCGCATAAGACGATAACAAAATTAATAGATTGATTTGCAGCTATCGCTATTGCATCGTCCCGCGTGTCTCCATATTGAATGTTTTCCCACGGAATAAATACTATATATCCAGCATCTACCAAGGCAGGCTTTATATATCGCATTACCGTTCTGAAAACGCAACTGTTTTGATCATAAAACGACAAAAATACGTCTATTCTATGTTTTTCAACCGAAGACTGTTTACGGACAAACATACGACTGAGTATAGTGATTTCGTTGCGGAAAAAGAAAATGAGACCAATGCCGAACACTACAAACGCTAATATTCCGATTGCTATACTTACTGTAACCGTTAAGGGTATTGGTGTAAATTTATTACAGTTTAGAAAATGTTCAGTAACGTCTTCGGCCGGTAAAATGGTCCCGCCAACGGAGCAGTTCAGCCTATTCTGACCTTTTTTCAAACGAATCCAGTCCCCTATCCATGTATTACCACAGTTACAAATAATTGGATGCGGACCAAAAGTGATTGCATTAGGGTCTCTATGCTGCAAAATAGGAGGCAGATCATCCAGCGTTTGGTTCTCTATGTTTATTGTAGACAAAATGCTGGCAGCCGCTTGCCGACTGAAAGTTGACACTGGGTTACCGCTTAAGTCCAGATTTATTAATCTGTTATAGTATTTCCTGGCTGGAATCACTGATATTTTGTTAACAGCAAGAATGAGATCTATTCTATTATTTCTCCAAGTACCGATTGGCATTTCGTCCGGCATCGATTTTAAACCTACACCTGTACAATTAACTAGCACTTTGTCTTGACTTGGCATGTCAATACAGTGACAAAGATAATGGGGACATGTGTGCTTTTCACTTAGATCACATGTTAGATCATCGTAATGTTGGCTAATGGCAACTTCTGTGAGGTTAAGCCCTTTCACACTTTCAGGCATGTTACATACAAATGTATCCAAATTCTTCCAATATACTGAGGCTTCTGTTCCTAAAGATTTTAGTATAGGAAATATCGTACAATCACAGTTCACTGAACTAGAATCTAATTTCAGAGACCCAGATATGTATTTGGGAAAGTCGCCCATATCTTCAATTCCAATAGATGTAAAGTTAATAAAGCTACCCAAGTGTGTATGCTCTAATAAAATATCGCCTGGTCCATGAATGACTTTATCCAATACAATCCCTAGGTCATTTGTAATAGATTCAATATTAGAGTTTGTGAAGTTTAGAGTACAGAAAGGTCCTGGCCTGAGCACGTTCGAAACATCTAAGCAGTCCATATTAGGATTGTTGGAAAAGTCAATGATTGGAATATTCCCTCCTTTGATGATTATAGTATTAGGTTCTAGTTTCATTATCAGGTTGTGTGACATGGTAAGAATCCTCAAGTGAATCATGTCGGTAAATGAGGTATTTGCGATATAAGTTATCAAATTGAAGTCTAAACGTAATGTGTCTAATTGTTTTAGGCATTTTATTACACTTATGCTGCGTATCCAATTGTATCTTAAGTCCACCTTTCTTAACTGTTCTTTGATCTGACATATATTCTGCGGAAGCTTCGAAAGAGAACCTCCAGTATGTATCAATTCCGCCACTGAATCGTTATTTGTATTGGTAAGAATACTTTCTCCGTATATATTAAGGTATTCCAAATATATTTTGTCAACAGGACAAAGCAATTGATTAATTTCCCAGCAGGGCTGTGCCCTACAAGAGCAACATTCCTCAGGGTAATCTTTTGTTTTACAATCATTAGGGCAAAATATTTCTGCCCTTTCACCATATGACCATAAATGGTAGCCTGGAATAGTTGCATTTGTGCTAAAAGCTGATATCACACAATGTGAGACTAAATAAAATAGTAAAATTAATCGGAAAACCATTGTATCACAGTCCTAATCCTTATTTTAATACAGCGTATCGATCACTGCAATGCCTTTTATTTCATTGCAAGGGGGATTTCCTCAATATTAATACGTTGCAAATTTCTTCAACATTACCATGCTGCATAATTTACAACCAGGCTCATTTGGCAAATAAATATATACCTTAGGCAAATAGTACAGTTTGCTTCGTAAACACTCGAATGTATCTTAAAACTTGAATGTAAGGCCAACACGTTTTTCTTAAATGTTTTAAGCGACATTTTACAAACTTATTCGGTCGGGGTAGGGTAGTAGGGTGTCTATAAAAATAGAAATAGAGTCTACGATTTTAGAAAGCCGACTTAATTTTAAACATTTAAAGGGGCTTAAATTTTGTATATTTCACAATATTCGAAAAAGATGAGTCTTTAAGGCATTTATGTAAATATAAATAAATTTATTATTCATTTACTCAGTGAGGAAATAACTCGAAACAGCACTAAATCTTATTGTTTGTATGAAATATGACATAGAAGACGAGGTATTCACTGTGATAGCACGAATTAAGCTTTCTTTATAAACAAATTAGTAGCCACTGTCTACACCTCCCCACAACACAGTCACGGGGCATATTTCTCGTTTTAAATTACGAGAAAGGCTGAAGTGTTGGAACAGACAGAATGCCTGACAGACAAACAGGATAACTGACATAAGGAATGACAGACAGAAATATACCTTCGAGTCATTCAATAAGGGGCGGCCATAAAAAAGATTTGTGCAGTTATAGCTTTAATCTATTTTATTTTGCACCACTCTTAAATAACAATAAATATTACAGGTAAGACAAAAACATAAAAAAAATGCATTATTTAGGCATTTCTTCAGGCTAGTGCACAAATGTATTTAATCATAAGAAAGTGATATGCTCGCTAACAATTTATTGTTCGAGTAACACCATTTATGACATAACATAACGTTTGTTAATAAATAAACCACAAGAAAAGCAACAGCGACGTATTTTGCATCTGACAGATGATACTAGATTTTACCCGATGTCACATATTGGCACCCAATTATGCGTTTTCAAACTTAAATTGAAATGTAAACATTTAAACGCAAATTCACTAAGAACGTCTATATCATTCCATGCTTTGAAAATTTGTATAAATTAGAGAGACAAAACTTTAATTTAGCTTAATATCAGGTAAGTCAGCATTCTTTTGTTGATGTCGTGTTAGAATCGAAATAATATATCCAAATCGGTGATTATGCTTGATTTGTATAAATTAGAGAGACAAAACTTTTAGCTTAATATCAGGTAAGTCAGCATTCTTTTGTTGATGTCGTGTTAGAATCGAAATAATATATCCAAATCGGTGATTATGCTTGATAAAATCACTGTTCGTTGTTTGGATGCGCATAATTATATCACTCGGGCCACGCCCTTGTGATATAATTCCTCGCATCCTTATTTCAAACGTTGAATTTATTGAGCGATAAAATCACTGTTTGGGATATATTATTTCTTAAATAAAATTCAGTTATAACCAAAACCCATTATTGACCAAAAAATACCAGACCAAACAAAACATGTAAATGATGGGAAAATTTAAGGCAGACAATGAATGAAATGATAATATTTATTATATAAATTTGAAGAAAGTCACTTTGATCTACTGGCAATCATGCCAGTTACACAAGCTGGTGAAAAGGTTGTTCAGATAAGAACTAAAGGTTTAATTTGGTTATTAGATCTATCAATCTCCTCTATGAAACCAAAACAAAAATAAGATCTTGACCCGAGGTTACACAAATAAATCTTAAAATTGTTATCAGTTGTTAACTTTAAAGTTTGTCGCTACAGATCAATGTCAATTGCATTTCTTATACTGTTTGTTAAAAATACATTATGCAAAGAAAGGTTAAAAAATTTATAAAACGAGTATAACAATAGTATCATCGCATAATCATGTTATCTTGTAATAATCACTGATGAAACTAAGACAATCCCATCTTACTAAAGCTTGAGTATGCATATAATGGTATTTAAATGCAAGGTTTGGTATAAGATTTCATTTATTTTATATGTAAAGATGTCACCTTAAAATTCAACCTAAACCATAAATTATAATACTGAACTGCTTTTATCTATTCACGTAAGAAACATATAATACAAAATATGCCTTACACATCTAAGCTAGACCAAGTCTTAGAGTTTACAAAAATACATGCTGAAGCACTTGTACAAGTAACAGTTTGAAAATTGAATGTGTTTGGAATATATGCAGGGGAGTATATTGACAAATTACAAGGGCACAACCCTGTTGGATGATATGTTTGGCTTGAAAAGAAAACGTATATCACCATGCAAGTAGCATCTTCGAAATTTACAGTTGCACTCAGATGATTTAGGTTGTGTAAGTCTGTGAAACACTGGGGGTATTGTATTACCAGTATTTGGTGAATTGTCATCATCATGATCACTCATCTCTAGCTCTAAGTCTAACGTTGCTTCTTTTTCTAATGCGTAATCATTATCTTTTGACAACTTTTGTTCCGGTTTATGTTTATGTTGAAGTGGTTTCCCCAGTTTTTTCTTCAGCCTTTGTATGAGACCACTTTCGCGGTTTCTAAAATCAAGACATCTTGTCCTTTTTACTGCTCGCAATCTTTCATCGTTTATTTCTTTTGATTCCAAACTGTCAAAGTTGATGAGAATTATTTGTTTTTCTTTATTGGCTCGAAATGAATTCCAGATTATTTCCAGTTCCGACACGGTCTGAAAGTCATCTGCATAATTATTACATAAAACAATGACGTAGTTAACCGATAGATCAATCGCTTTTGCAAGCTCCTCGTCTCGTTGATTTCCATATTGAATATCTTGCCAAGGAATAAAAACGGTGTATCCAGCTTCAACTAGTGCAGGTTTGATGTACTGGTTTACCATACGGAATATATCATCATTACCCTCGTAATATGACACAAATACATCGATACTATCTGAAGTTTCTGAAAATACCTTTCTTGATAGATTTCGATTCAAAATTATTAGCTCATAACGAAACGTATAGCACAAACCAGTGATCAAAACGAACAATGTTATAGCTCCAATGGAAGAACTGACAATTGCTGCTGTTGGCCAGCGTGTAAACTTATCACAGTTTAAAGAGAACTCAGAGACGTCCTCTGCCGGTATTATTTCTCCGTTCACAATGCAATTGAGCCTTCCCTTGCCATTCTTTAATCGAATCCAGTCACCAATCCACGTATTTGAACAATCACATACAACTGGATGTGGCCCAAACGTTATCATATTAGGGTTTTGGTGTTGTAAAATAGATGGAAGCGTTTGCAACAGTTGGTCTTGAATGTTTAAGCGTGAAGAAATGTCACCAGCTGCTTTTGAACTAAACACTGTTATGTTATTTTGTCTAAGATCTAAATTGACTAATCTTGAATAGTAACTTCTTTCAGGCAGACTGGTTATTTTATTATCAGCAAGAATGAGATCGATCTTGTAATTATTCCACGCACCGATTGGCATTTCGTCCGGCATTGTTGTTAAACCTACTCCAGTGCAGTTGACCAATACCTTTCCATGGCTAGGCATGTCAATACAGTGGCAATAATAATGTGGACATTTAGGCTTTTCTGAGATATCACATATCAAATCATCAAAATTCATCGCCTCGATCATAGCTGTAAGATTTTTTCCTTTCATATACTCGGGTTTATAGCATTCAAATGTTTGTCCATCTAGCATATTTACATTTTTCCAGTACTTTCCAAGGTCAGGGCCTATCGTGTGTAATATTGGATACAATGCACATTCGCAATCAATTGAACTGGCATCAATTCTAATCGTGCCATCTATGTACTGACCAAATTCCTTCAAGTCGTTGATTCCAATCGATGTAAAATTTAAAAAACTGCCAAAATGTGTTTGTTCCAGCAGTAAATCCCCAGGTCCATGCATGACCTTCTCCATGACATAACCAAGTTCGTTTGTGATATGTTCAACGTACGAACCCGTGAAGTTGAGTTTGCAGAATGGTCCAGGTCTGAAAACATTTGATATATCTAATAGATCCATTTGACGATTTTCAGAAAAATCAATAATTGGTATATTTCCACTTTCAATAATGATCACATTCGGATCTAACTGTTTTATAAGATTATTTGACATTGTTAGAACTCTGAGATTGTTCATTCTTGTAAATGTTGTATTGTCAATGTATTGTATCATATTATAGTCTAATCGCAGTGTGTCTAGTTTTATAAGGCATCGAACGGGGTCGGCATCAATCAGTTTGTTGTGACGCAAGTCCAATGTTACCAACTGTTTGTCAAAGTCGCATGTATTTTCTGGTATTTGTATTAAGAATCCGTGTGTATGAATTAATTCAACTATAGCAGAAGTATTTTTTGGTCCGATTAATTTACAGTTCCCAAACACATCTAAATATTCAATAGATAGTTTCCAAATTGGACAAAGTGTAGGATTTAACTCCCAGCAAGGTTTAGCCTCGCACGAACAACACATATCTGGGGAATCTTCTGTACGACAGGTTTCCGGACAGAACACTTTTTCCCTCCCTTTTAACGACCATTTAAAGTATCCTGGAATATCTTTAGCACAACATGTTAAGACAAAGCAGTACATATAAAAATGTACGATCACACATTTGGTCACAAACATTGCTTCGGTCCTCTGAATATACTTTCAAGATATGATCAAGTTGAATACCAGTTCTGAATATGTATCGTTAACTTATCGTCTAGGGGAAATTCCAAACTGTTCCCCATGAAAATTTTGTAGCCGGCAATATTGGAAATCAAATGATTAATATGATTTTACTCAAATCTTATCATTTATTTTATAATCATGTTCAAACATGGCCCTTCAATCTTATAGTTACTCTCTTTATCTACATATTGATATACCCGTCCAATGTTTGAATCATTAACAATTGCCCCCACCTTAGCAGCAATTATCATCAGCAGATAAAATAATTCTCATTTTATCACTGACAACCTTTCCTAAAATTTCGCACTTTAAATTTGTTATATTGATTCACAAATCAATAATTTCAGAATTAATTTTTCATTCTTTTTTTCTTGTACCTATACCGATCGCTTCAGATTCTTTCTTTATATAACATATAATATAACATAACATATAAAGTATAAATTGTAAAGCAGTTAAAGTTTATGTTATGATCGTAATTTTACATAAAGACTCCAAAGAATTGTCAATGCAAATCATAAAATGAATGCAATTATGATCCAAATATATATGCACGGTAGTGCAATACATTTTTTACAGAGTCGCAAAGATGTGTGATGTTATAAAATTGTTACTTTTCTGCATTTTTTAATTTTTTAACAGTATGAATATTGGCAGATTTAAAGTTTTCATGTTCATGGGACACCCTATCTAAATCTGATAAAGTTTATTTATTTTAATATCAGTCCTTTAAAGGTTTATTATTCACATGCGAACCAAGAAAGATAATTAGTGGGTCATGACCTCCTTCTACCGCTGGGATTAGTCTGTTACGCAGAAAACATCATTTAATATCAAGTTCTGAATATTAACTTAAAATTGCTATGAATACCGAAATCAAAATAATCGATAAGTCAAATAAATGATTGGTATGTACATGTAATACCAAAAGGTTGACCAGTGGTGAAAGATGAAGTTATTTGACATAATGATGGTTTGCCGGCTATGACTGAATACTGATAAAAAATGTACACTTCTTTTTGTTTCTTTGCTATGTATTGATAGCCGTTTTTAAACCTATCGAATATGAGGTTAAATCAATAAAGATATGAAAAGGAAGTTCTTGTATATATGTACATTTATTGTCTTATTTGTTTGAACATCGCACGCTAAAAGACGAGTTTTCGAGTTTTCTTGACGTGATTTAATTTATATCAAAAAATGCGAAATGATATAATATTATCTTTATAATTATCACATATTTTCATTGTGTTCTGTATAATTCCGATATTATTAGATAACTTAGCTGTAAAATCATATAGGAGCTAGTACAATATGCATTTTCTGCTGTGTTACAATAATTTAAGTATCATCATAAATTGTACAGTATTCTCGTATCGTTATAAATCTCAATATACTTAATGTTTCACAACTGGCCTTTTTTAGGATTTATCAGTTCGTTATATATATCATTGTTTATACATTCATAATGGTTAAAGAAACTCAACTGGGATCCAAAGAAAAAAATATAAAAAATTAATTTTCTTGCATAAATCGAATTGTACATTTTGAACAATAACAAATGAGGATGATTAAAAAATATACTCAGAAATAAATTGAAAACTGTATTTTGTGCTGTCTCTAGTTCGATTTCAGTGAAAAGCATTGTAATCAATTTTGATTCATGTTTGACAATTAGAATAATTATAATTGCCTGACATTTTGCACACAAGTTATTGGTCTAAGCCTACATCAAATAGAACATTTATGACAAAAACTTATTTCCAGTCCCATCATGTCAAAACCCTCAGTGGAGTTCCTTTAATAAACACGTTTTAATATTAACTTGAGAATTAACGATTACATGTAGCAAAACGATAAATTGTAGTAAGTAATAAAATGTAGCAAACAATAAGTAGAAGTGAACGGTAGCTTGGAGTAAACGATAACTTATAGCAAAAGATAGGCAAACAATATTTTAAAGCAATGGATCACATTCAGTTCAGGATAACTTGTAGTTACTGATTACTTGTTGTGAACGATAACATGCAACAATATAAATAAAATAGCTTGAAATGAATTATAGTAAACTATAACTCGTAGCAATGGATTCCTTGAAGCGAATAATAAAAGATAGTTTGAAGTAAACGATTACTTTCAGTAAACGATAACTTGTAGTAGACATTGGTGTTTCTATTAACTGACCTGACAGGCTCAGAAAAAAATATAACGAAAATCACCGTGATGGTTTCCTAATACAGGCCCCACAGTCAATTAGTTTGTTAACTGTCTATCAATTTGGAACGATATTCTTTCAGTTCTGATATAAGAAATAGCAGAAATAAACGAAATAAAAGCAATAACAGAAATGACAGAGATGACAGAAATAGCAGAAATTACGGAAATAACAGAAGTAACAGAAATGACAAAAAATAAAAATAGAAATAACAAAATAGGGAAATTCTTTAGCATCTTTCCCCTTATTTCATTCCTGAAAACAGGGTTACGGAAATACTTATAATACTGCTACTTTGTATTTTTTATTGTGATGTTTATATTATCAGTCATACATATTTTTAACAGGTTATATTGCCCTATATAAACGGTTGTTTGGAAATATAACCGGAGCCGCAATGTTACAAATAAGTGCAGTATTGTAAATACTGCACGTTTGTAACATTGCTTAACATTTGTGAATCGTGACGTTTAAATAGTTTTGAGAAATCTTGCCTTTTTTCTTTAAAAAATGATGCTTGCTGTATTATCTGTATTATAATTTCGTTATATATTAATATTTCTGACAGGTTATATGACAGTATATAAAAGATTGTTTGCAATATAACCATCGGCTAGCGGCTCGGGTTATATTTCCAAATACCCGTTATCGTTTTATATGAAACATTGTAATAGGGCCATATTACCTGTCAAACAATGTTTACAATTAATAATGAGCACTATTCCTGTTAAAAGAAAATCTTAATCAAGTGCAATTCATTTCATAAAAGGGTCCGTAAACTGTGCGTGCACTGTGCGTGCGTATATACGTGAAATTAGAAGAAGAAGCTGCAACTGCAAAATTACCGATGGAATTTTATGTACCGCTGGAATATTCCTGACTGTGACAGCTGTATTACCGCTAGAAGATCCTGACTGTAGCAGCTTTATTACCGCTGGAATATCCTGGTTGTAACAGCAGTATTAACGCTGGAATATCCTGGCTGTAACAGCTGTTTTACCGCTGGAATTATGGTCTGATGTAAATCCTGGTTGTACAGCTGTAATTGCCACTAGAAGATCCTGGCTGTAACAGCAGTATTACCGCTGTAAGATCCTAGCTGTAACAGCTGTATTACCGTTTAACGATTCTGACTAAAATAGCTGTACATATATACATTTGAACAACTTGAATAACCTGGCTGTAACAGCTGTATGACCGCTAGAAGATTCTGTCTGTAACAGAAGTATTACAACTAGAATATCCTCGATGTAACAGCAGTTTTACCGCTGGATGATCCTTATTGTAACAGCTGTATTACCGTTGGTAGATCTTGACTGTAACAGCTGTATTACCGCTGAAAGATCCTGGCTGTAACAGCTGTATTACCGCTGGACGATCCTGACTGAAACAGTTTGTATTACCGCTGGAAGATCCTGGCCGTAACAGCAGTATTACGGCTGGAAGATCCTGACTGTTACAGCAGTATTACTGCGGGAAGACCCTGGCTGTAACAGCTGTATTACCGCTGGACGATCCAGACTGAAACAGCTGTATTACAACTGGAAGATCCTGGCTGCAACACCTGTATTACCGCTGGAAGTTTACTGCTATAACAGCAGTTTTGCCGCTGGAAGAGTCTGGCTGTAAGAACTGTATTACTGCTGGAAGAGTCTGGCTGTAACAGCTGTATTACAGCTGGGCGATTCTGGCTGTAACAGTTATATTACCGCTGGAAGATCCTGACTTTAAGAGCTGTATTACCGCTGGGAGATCCTGGCTGTAAAAGCTGTATCACCGCTGAAAGATCCTGACTGTAACAGCTGTATTGCCGCTGGAAGATCCTTGCTGTAAGAGCTGTATTACCGCATGGAGATCCTGGCTGTAACAGTTGTATTTCCGCTGGAAGATACTGGCTGTAACAGCAGTATGTTTGGAGGTTTTTTTTTAATGTGAATTGTTGGAATGTTTTTATCTAAATGGAAATCTTCTTCTAATATTTCAGTTTATATATCTGTAAAAAGTACGAGTATATTGAAATGAAAGTTTTTTGCATCCGAAAATTTCCTGTCTCTTGTATAAACATCAGTAAAACAAATCATTTTCGCACAAATTAAGTTGAAATAATTGTTATCACAAACAAATTAAAGTTTAGGCATTCGAAAGTTTTATTTATTGCAGAAATATCATTTAAAAAAAACCTTTCGTCCACAAATTAAGTTAATTAATGGTTATCATAAACAAATAAAACTTAAGCATATGCCAGTTTCCTGTTGTCGGTAGAAGCAGCAATAAGAAGTAAGTTTTCTAACATTTATAATTAATATTGCTGAAATGAAAAATATAAATGTTTGGGAACTCGACAATTCCCTGATGTCTGAAAAATATAGTAGTAAAATCAGCTTTCGTACATAGACAAAGTCAGATTAATGCTTAGGCCTACAAATGAGAGTATATTGTTTGGAACTGTTTTTGGCGTCCGCGCCGAAGCGCGGCGCTCTTATGGAATGAAATCAGATTTTGTGAAAGGGTGACAGCAACTTCTCGAGCCTTTTAGTCGGTCATAATAAAAGCCGATAATTCCGATCGGTATGAGGGTGCTTGATTTTTAATTAAGAATTAAATGTCGCGATATGTTGCAATGAATAGCGAACTGGAGAATTTCGCAATGCAAACATTTTCAAATGAAATAACCTTTTCCGTCAATAAATCGCACTCTTCGGGGTTTTTTATTTATCATTTTGTAGTACACAGTGGGTTATCAGGGTATGTTATTGTTGTTGTACATGTATCCTAGAATGATCAGTTGATGACCTAAATATTCCGAAAATCTATTTATAGATATATCTATTTATCACTCCTATCGGTAATTCCCGGTCTCTCCCGGTCTATAGTGACCGGCGAATAGTACCACACGTTTATTGTCCGGTCTCTCCCGGTTTTGGAGTAGATGTTTGATATCGT